AGTGTCGGGGGGGGGGGGGGGGGGGTGAAGTAAGGCTGAGGACAAAATTGATCACGTGACTTTGATGCTTGAAAAACTTTGTCGCATGACCTAGCTGGAATGTGTTTCTCCCAATAAGGGTTTAGATTTGACTTCATGTCTCAGCCCCTATTGGGAAGACTAATGTCAACCCTGTGCAGGACACCTCTTCATGTGTCTCCTGTTCTCATTTATATATGAGAGTACTTGTATGGTTAGGAAGCAGAAGTCGCCACTTCTGAGCCTGCTTGGCTCCTGATGTCTGGGAAAACATGTCCTGGCAGGATGTAGGTCTTCCACACTCCCCATAGAGACTTGGCTGCAAAGGACTTGGCCATAAACCGATGTTGTCAGCATTTCAATAAAACTTTCAAGTTCTGGTTGTGTACACAGAAGCTCCTCTTCTTAAAGTGAAGCAGTCCCAGGTTGGTCTTCTGTGTGCATGTCTGGAACAATCCGCTCCTAAACAATGATTTCATCAGAGTGTGGCTGGTCCTTTGCATTAGAATATGGCTAGAAGAGACTATATTAGGAGCAAAAGCTGGCCAGAATGTCAATGTGATCCCTAGTAGGACCAGATTTTCTTTGAGCACCTTGTGGGGCTCTCATGGGCGCATGACAACCTCTCCTCCAGAAAGCACCGATCTGTTCATCTTGTATCAGAACTGTAGGACTACACTGCTCTGTTTCTCCCCACAGGAGCGGATGTCACTGAAGCATCAAAACAGCGGAAAATGGGCAAAATCCAAAGCCATCATGGCAAAATATGATGAGGAGGTAAGCAAGTGTGTCATAAGCGGAGTTCTCCAGAAGTGCAGAATATTTCGGGAGAAATAGAGGAAGGAGCACAGTCCTCTGGCCGTGCAGAGTATTTCGTGAGGGAAGAGATGGAGGAAGGAGCAGACTCCTCTAGCAGAAAGGAAATGCTGTGAGGTGGTGGGCCAGTGGGTGGCATTGGGAGTCAGGGAAGAGATGGGTAGGAGGCAGATGGAGAGAGGTGGGCAGAGGAGTTAGGGGTTCTGTGATGGGAGGAAGCGGTGCATAGAAGGGAACTTATGCATCTGGCGGGGTGCTGTGTTCTGGGAAGGAGGGGGGTGTCTTTTAAGGTGGGTATGAGGGCAGTGCTGTGTCCTGGGGAAGAGATATGATGGAATGGGGTACTTTGTCCGAGGATCTAGGTGGCCGTGAGAGTGGCACTGTGACTGAGAGGTGAGATGGAAGGTAGAGGGGTGCTGTGGTTGGGAGTGGAAGGGGGGCACTGTAACTGAGAGGTGAGATGGAAGGTAGAGGGGTGCTGTGGTTGGGAGTGGAAGGGGGGCACTGTAACTGAGAGGTGAGATGGAAGGTAGAGGGGGGCACTGTAACTGAGAGGTGAGATGGAAGGTAGAGGGGGGCACTGTAAAGGGGTGCCGTAACTGGGCGTGTTGTGCATAGAAGCTGGGACCTGGCCTGGTGTGGTGCGGAGCAGGATGCAAGGGAGGTGCTGCTGGCAATGCAGGAGAAATGTGCAGGGGATCCAGGGTGAAGGTGCAGGAGATCAGTATACAAAGGCATGGCCATGGTTAGAGAAGCCGACAGCAGTGCATGGAGGAAGCAGGATGGGCCATCGGGCTCTGGGTGCTGCTCCTCTGCTTGGCAGGGTGAAGAACATAACTGGTGGCTGGACTCCTAGTTTTATCATATTCCACTTTGTGATTTCATGGCTTTTCTCTTCCGTCACTCCTCCTTTAGGCCCGAAAGGCCATGCAAGAACAGCTACAGAGGAATAAAGATTTAACCAGGAAAATCGAAGTTCTGTCAGAGAGCGATGAGAGCGAGGAAGAGGAGACCGTCCCAGATTTTGTCAATGACGTGCAAGTGATTTCTGAGGGCCGCAACCCCTGGATGACGGGAAAACTGAGCAGTGATGCAAAGGATTCTGGGAACCAGGAGGAGGAGGAGAAGGCACAGGCGGAAGCAGAATTAAACACAAAGCCTGAGGATCAAGATGATGAAGAGGAAGAGGAGCAGGAATCCGAAGAAGAGGTTTTACTTAAAGAGTTTGAAGACAAACGACGTTTGAGGAAGCAACAAGAGGAGCAGGAATCCAATGACAAAGAATTAGGTGAGTAGCGATGAAGTGGAGCGCGATGATCCGCATTAAAGTCGACTTATTGAAATTTACACTTCATTTATGACGAGGCCATGTCAGCATTACCAACCAACCCCCTCCTTCTCCCTCCCCTCTTTCTCTCCCTCCCCTCTTTCTCCCCCCCCCTCTTTCTCCCAAAAAACGCTTCCTCTTTTTTTTAAATTTCTGTTGAATTTGTCTTTTGCGCTGATTCAGATGTTCCCAAAAACCATCGTATTACATGTTCTGCTCACAGCGCACAATCGTCATATGTCGCCTTTGGGTTAGATTCAACTTCTGCTTTCGCATACAAAACATCGTTGTTGTTTTTTTGTTCTTTCTATGTTAGTACAAGACAATGTTATCAATTTATTACAGGCAATATACGCAGCACAAGAAGCTTGCAATCTATTTCCCGATCTGACATACTAGGGCCGATTTCAATGGGAGTCAATTACAAACCATGTCTCTTCAACAGTCTATATATACAGAGTCTCTCTCTCTCCCCCTCTTTCTCCCTCTCCTCTCTGTCATGATGCATCTATAGGAATACAGAGATGAGAGTCAGACTACAAGGATGAGAATCTGAGATTATTCAAATTGTTCCTGAATTGGTCATGTTGCCAACAGCCAACACATTTCGGGGGGTGGGGGGGGCAGACCACTCCCCCCTTCTCCAGGGCTGCAAACTAAATATACAACGTATTCCTAAATGTTTTAGATTTTGTAGCCCCAATGAAGGAGAAGTTGGTTTGGCCCCTGATATGTGTTGACCAATATATGAGCAATTTAGATGATCTCAGACCCTTTCATCCCATTGGTCTATCACTCCTACTGTCGGGGAAGGTTGCTGTATGTGAGTCTCTTCCCCAGCGCCAGATCCCTTCAATGTCCCGGCGCCTCTTTAATTTGTCTTTTTGGAGTTCACAAATCTGGTCCAGACTTCTTGCTGGTGGCTGAGGAGGGGTGGGGTGGGGGGGTGTACTCTAGTTTATAGTAAAAACACATTGAAGCGTCATGCCTAGCATCTCCTTCTGTTCCATGCGCAGGTAATAGACTGGAGACATCAGACCTGACTACGGAAGCTGAGGAGAAGCAAGTGTCCCAGTTCAACCAGCTTTTTCAGAAGTTGATGGAACAAAACCGTAAAGAAAAAGAACTGAACAAGGACAGCCCGGCTGCTGAACCCGAGGAGCCATCAGGAGGTGACCCGGAGGAGGAGCTGGAGGGAGCAGAGGAAGGACCTTTACTGATGGAGAGCGATGAGAGGAAGCAGACTCTGGAAGATGTAGAAGCTCTGGCACAGGAGGAAGGGATCGATGAGCTCGCAACCCAACTGAATGATCCTGGAAAGAAGAAATCAGGAGAGCCGAGTGTGCAGCCAACCAGCGTCAAGCAGGCCAGGAAATCTAAACTGATTGACCACAATGACGTCCTACCTGTGAAGGCTAAGAAGGTTCGGATGCATCTGCTGCCCACCACCGTGGAGGAGGAGGACGAGGTGAGGATCTGAAATAGACTTGAATAGATCGTTACTTGTACAGTATTCTCAAAGCAGCCAATCAAATGCCAGCTGCCATTTTTTCTTTTTCAGTGCAGGTTGGGTTCAATAACACCTGATTGGTCGGTATGGGCTAGCATACACCTTTGTGCCAGTCTTTTTAAATGACCTCCGGCCTTCCCCTCGGTCTTGTATCTGACCTCCGGCCTACCCCTCGCTCTTGTATCTGACCTCCGCCCTTCCCCTCGCTCTTATAGCTGACCTCCGCCCTTCCCCCTCGCTCTTGTATCTGACCTCCGCCCTTCCCCCCTCGCTCTTGTATCTGACCTCCGCCCTTCCCCCCTCGCTCTTGTATCTGACCTCCGCCCTTCCCCCCTCGCTCTTGTATCTGACCTCCGCCCTTCCCCCCTCGCTCTTGTATCTGACCTCCGCCCTTCCCCCTCGCTCTTGTAGCTGACCTCCGCCCCTTCCCCCTCGCTCTTGTAGCTGACCTCCCGCCCTTCCCCCTCGCTCTTGTAGCTGACCTCCCGCTCTTCCCCCTCGCTCTTGCACAGTTGTACCGGCTCCTCTCCTGGACTGGAATGTCTTCCTCTGATGTCACTGCACACTCAGAGCTTCTCACACTGTGCAGTAGAAGCTGCAGCGAGTCAGATAGAGCTCCGCCTCCTTTCCTGGCTGGAGGACGTTCCTGTTGTCCTAGTACTGCAGCCTCACTCCCATTATATTTGGTTATCTTACCCCCCATTTGGAAGGCTTGGCCACCGACCATTGTGCAGCTGTCAGTAGACATTGACTTATTCAAAAATCGTTGTGTTGTGTAGGAGATGGAAGACGATGAGACGGCACAGAAAATGATCATCCAGGAGGCATTTGCAGGCGATGATGTCATCAGCGACTTCCTTAAAGAGAAGCAGAAGGCTGAGGAGGCGGGGAAGCCCAAAGACATCAACCTGGTGTTACCCGGATGGGGGGAGTGGGGTGGAACCAACCTCAAAGTCAGCAATAAAAAACGCAGTAGGTAAGACATGGGCCAGAAAGCCTGGAGACCTGAGGTGGGTGGAGCTGTGACACTTAAAGGGGATCTCCAGCCAGCAGTTCATGTATCCCCCCTTCCTTGCCCATAACCCTGCACACGCAACCCTATTTCTCCCCTCCTATGATCAGTGCAAGCTATCGTAAAAAAGTGCTGCTGTTACCTTCAAAGGAACTGAGACATTGTGGTCAAATGACCACTCCAATCCTCCATTCCCTTGTTGGTCTCTGGATGGGGGGATGGGGGGGGAGTAGTGGTGGCTCCTAACCTGTGGTGTGGAGAGCATTGGGAAGGGGGGCATTAACAATACCATCTGCCAGGACAAGAGACAAATTAGTGTATGTCCAGTATATATTGTTTTTGTTGCATAGACGGTGGGATGGCGCTCTCTATACAGCCTGTCGCCGTACATACACATTGTTCTTTTTTTTTCCTGCCAGTAATGGGTGTTGCATACAAATGTTTGCGCATATGTAGAGCTAGGCAGTTGCTTATATGGTGCTTATGAGTATGAGGCCCGCATGCCACCCTCCTCCACCGGCTATCCTGGGCTCCACTTTCCCCTGTGCGTGCCTGGGACCGGCACGGCGGGTCTCGCTGCCTGGGTCGGAGGGAGATCAGCACATGTTCTCCTGCTTATCTCCCCTCCGATTGCTGAATGTGGAAGTGATTGTGTGTTACTTTACTTCCTCCTTCAGCCTGTCATTCTTCCTGCTGTAGTCGCAGGAGGAGCTGGTGAAGTAGATCTGTGTTTCAACAGCTTCTTTGAGGGTCGCTAGGTGACATTACAGGTCAAATAGACCCCTGATGTCTCCATAAAGAGGACTTGGAACTGTATCTGTGCTATCACGTAGGGGGAGAGAGATTGAGGAGAGAGAGAGGGAGAGATTGATGGAGGGAGGGGGAGAGATTGAGGGAGAGAGAGAGATTGAGGGAGGGGGAGAGAGAGATTGAGGGAGAGAGAGATTGAGGGAGAGAGAGATTGAGGGAGGGAGAGATTGAGGGAGGGAGAGATTGAGGGAAGGAGAGAGTGAGGGAGGGAGAGATTGAGGGAAGGAGAGAGTGAGGGAGGGAGAGATTGAGGGAAGGAGAGATTGAGGGAGGGAGAGATTGAGGGAGGGAGAGATTGAGAGATTGAGGGAGGGGGAGGGAGAGATGGAGGGAGGGAGATTGAGGGAGAGAGGGAGATTGAGGGAGAGAGGGAGATTGAGGGAGAGAGAGAGATTGAGGGAGGGAGGG